CTTGAAAAAAATCTTTCATTGTGTATCATTCCACCTACAACCTTTTACCAGTGTCTTAGTTTTTTTAACCTCAGCCCAGTTGGTGGTTGCTCTGTGTTCTCTTGGACCATTAACTTTAAATGAATAGAGACAGGATGAGTATTTAAATAATTTTAAAAATGGAGTGTAATATTAATAGTAAAAATAATTGTGTCATGTCAGTGGAAGAGATAATCTCGCTGCTAACCTTGGTTGAGTTTGTTAAGTTTTCTGCTTATCAATTGAAGCATTTGGTTCTACATACAGAATGCTTCTTTTCTGCATCTTTATTGCTTTTAAATTACAGAATCCAAAGTTATGGTTATAGGTCATTTTAAATGTCATCAAGTATTTGATGGCTTTGTCTCATCATTCTGGATATTCAGCTAAAGCACAGATCCAGAATTAATGGAAAGATTTACCATTGAGCAGTAAAGCCCCAAATCTAATTGAAAGGAGGTTGTGACAAATAAATTTCTAATCTACTCTTTGAAAGCGTTGCACTCTGCAGAGTAGTTCTTCATGTTTCATTGCAGCATCTTGATATGATTTTTACATGTGCCTAAGATTTCACTGCTTTGTTTTCTCTTAGGAAAAGAAAATCATCAAATATTGTGAGTCAAAAGTTCAGTGACTGAGGCATTAGGACCAGAGCTTATTTTCTGTTTTGCTTTGTTTTAACCTTGATATTTTATCCTCGCCATTGAAAATTCATAGTGGTTCATCCCGGAAGTAATATAATTCTGGCCTTTCAATATAATTAAGGATATTGATGAGCACACCGTGCATTTGAAATGACAAAATTGTCTTTTTAATATTATCAGTATCAATGGAGAAATTTTCCCATTTCTCAGCTCCTAGGACAACTTTCCCTCTGTCAATGAGCATTTTTATGCTCACTCTCCCATTTCTTGGAAGAATGTTCTGAAAAGGTATACTCAATACCTGCAAGCTATCACAGCTATATTTCTCACTATTTCCTTAATCATAAACTTGCAGCCAGGAGGTACTATGGTAGACTGGTAGTTTATCTCTGAAAACAAAGTAATGTGTGGATTTGCATTTAGAGGTACTCATCAAGTCTCATAATAATTCAGTGGTCTGTCAGAATTGAGCACAAAAAAAAATGTTCTCCAGTGTACATGATGGCTTGAAAATAACTTCTAATTAAAAAAAATCTCCTGCTATGGGATGTTTTCTGTAGTATAATAACCAAAAGTCACAAAGCACTTCCTCCTTATATACTACACAGCTATATGTTGCTATTCTTATTTTCATTTTTTCTTTTCTAGCTATTTGTACAAAATGATCATCTTGGCAGATTCGCTTTCCCCAACACTTGAGAATTCTCGTTCTTTATTTGCACGGGGGTCCTTTTATGGCACATGCCATGATGAACTCAGATAGTAGGTAGATTTTCAGAATGCTGGGAATGCCCTCTTTGGTCAGAAGATCCCCAAAACTACTGAATATATATATAAATATATCTCATTAACAAGCAGAGAACTCCTTGGTAACAAAAGTCCAGGAAAACATTCTTAGATTTAGATGTTACACTTTTGCATTTTTAGACAGAAAAGGACCACTTGCATTTTAGATTGCATCTATTTTTTAAACAATGGATAGAAAATTCACTTTTTTCCACAAAATTCAGTCTGCTTACATAAAACATGAAGGGTTAGGAGGAAGGGTTTTTAAAATATTTTCCTTCTTATAGACTCCACACACATTGCCAGAATGTTCTGCATGTTTTTAAGGCTTGTCTGATTCTGTTTTCTTCAATTTTTTATTGATAAATAACGGTGCATTTTTATAGAGTGCAGTGTAACATTTCAGTACATTATGTACTTACTGATCAACTCAGATTATCATTCATCTCAAACATTTATCATTTCTGTATAATGGAAACATAAAAATCATGTCTTCTAGAGATTTTGAATTATATTATATTACTGACTATAATCACACTCTGCCATAGAACACCTGAATATATTCCTCCTATTTAATGTATTTTGTACCCTTTAACCAATTTCTTCTCATGGAATTTTCTCTAGGACATTCAGACTTGATTGTCTTTGCTTTAGCTTTTTGTGCTAGCATTCAAAGTGGAAAAGAGGGTTAGCCACATTCATTCAACAAATGAGTCATAGGGACAAAATACACAACTTTTCTCCTATAGTTAGTAAAGATTTTAAATATCAGAGATTTAATATGGGCTTTTCCTTTCATTCTTTTATTTATTTCAGCAACTCATTCATTCATTCAACAAGTGTTTCTGAGCATGTATCATGGACCTAACACTTTTCTAGGCATCAGTGAACATAATCAACAAAGCAGCCTCCATCTAGAGATTGTATCATCAAAGGGAGGGTAAACAGACAAAACAAATTTAAAAAATGAACTACAAAACTCATTTTGAATAGGAGCAAGGCTGTAAGGAAAAGCTTGCTTATTGAAGAGACTCCTAAACTAAATCCTAGCAACTAAGGCTTGGCCAGGAAGAAAAATGGGTGAAAGTGTTCATTTTAGTCAGCTTTTCATCATTGTGACCAAAATAACTGACAAGAATAATTGACAGAAGGAAATACTTATTTAGGCTCATGTTTTCAGAGGTCTCAATTGTTCTGAAGTGAAGCAAAAGGGTATGGCAGAGAACAGGTGCTCAGTTCATGAAAGTGGGGAAACGAGAGGAAGGTACCAGGGAAAAGACAAACTCTTCAGGGCATGCTCTCAGTGATCCACTTCCTCCAACCAGGTCCCACCTTCCAGTAGTCCATCTAGTTGATGAGGTCCCAAGCCTTCATGATCTAATTACTGCCTAAAAGCCCACCTCCGAACTTTGTTGCAGTGGAGACCATGCTTATGACACACAAGCTTGTGGGGGACATTCCATATCCAAACCATACCAGAGAAGGAAATCATTGGAGGTGATGGAGTCAATGCCGATCAAACACAGAATGTGTGTAGCATGTTTGTGGTGCCATAAGCTGTAAGGTGTTGCTTTTACCTGTAGGGTGAGACAGGGGTATGCTGCTCTGGTACCACATTAAGAATGTAGGTCTTTGATCAGCCATGACTGGAGAAGGATACAAGAAAAAAGAAAGGACAGTTCAACTCCTATTTCCTTGAAAAGTACTGATAGGTGTTGAAGCTATAAACAAGACACCACAGGTCCATGATGGAAGGTGCTATACTGCATTTTTCTTTTCTTTTTATCTACTTTCTTATTCTATTGTAGACCTGTTTGAACTTGGCCCACCACAGGACTTCGTGCCTCCTCACTCAGTGTGGGTGAATATTTCATGGTCATTCTCTATCCAAAGTCCAAGAAACAGCACAGAAGATAACAAAATCACTTCCTAATTTCTTCACAAGGTTAACCAACCAGCTTTAGTTAAGAAGTAGTTTATCATCCACTACTAGCTTTTTCTATGCTTTATAGTACAGAAAACTGTTGAGACCCAAAAGACCTGACTCCTTGGTACCATATTAAGCTATTAAACAAACTCCTTTGCAGGGAAGCTTTCAACCAAATCTCTTCTTCAAGCACTGATGCATGTTTCCCAAGAATATTACCCCCTGAAGTCCATGGACCCCTTGAAATGTGAGCTCCATCATTCCATGTGCAAAATTTTGTTAGCATGTGTTTATCTCTTAAGAAAAACTGCTCTAAATCTTTTAAATTATAATTTTTTCAAAGTAACCATACATCTTTTCCTCTAGCAAGTATTCTACAGGGATTTTCATTACATTTACATCTACATCTTTATGCACCTAGTCCCCCCACCCTCTCTCTCTCTCTCTCTATATATATATATATATATAGAGAGAGAGAGAGAGAGGGATGTAGATATGTAGAGAGGGAGATATGTAGATACAGACAGACAAATCCCTGTTCCTTCTCTTGCTTGCCAGGAACATATGCTACTACTTTGTTGTTTTGATGCTGGGGATTGAACTCAGGGCCCCAGGCATGGTAAGCACATGCTTTACATCTGAGCTATACCCCTGTGCCTAATAAGGTTTTATAAATTCCACTGCCTCCCCCAAACCATTTCCCTTTATTTCTCTCACAGACTCCTTTGACTCATTATTTTGAAATAGTGAAATCTATTTTCTTTATCCTAATACCTTGGCTCCATTTTCTGCATATTTTCTGTTATTACATAAGAATATTTTTACAGAACTGCAATCAACAATTAATTTATATACATTTCTTTACCATATTAGAAATCTCTGTAAATATCTATTGTATTCTAGGTGAATACAATTAATGAACTCTTTATTGCTAAAGTTGAATTGTTTGCAATTTTTCACTGTTAAAGCACAATGGTGCAGATATAGGTATAGTCTTTAGGTATAGTCTGTCTTCTCTGCTATGAGACATCCTCAGGTGACACAAGAGCAGAATCCCTGATGGATAGGTATAAATATTTTTGTGGTCTTTGACAAGGGGTTAACATAGGCTTTCCAAAAGCATCATTCCAATATAATGTTGCAAGCAAAGGGTCCATTGGCAAGAAGTTGGGATTTTTATCATTTAATTTTTTTATATTCTCTATTTTTTAAATAGAACAAAAACTTTACTGGGTATTGAACATGATTAAACATTTGTATACAATGTGTAATGTTTACAACTACCACCTCAAAGTGAAGTGAAAACATTTACAATTCTTCAAGACTTTTTGAGATCAGGAGAGTGATAAATAATCAAAGCAGCATCTGAAGAAGGCTAACCCTACATTCACTCTGTAGGAAGTTTAAGCCATGGTTTTGAGTGTGTCCTTTCATTTTTAATCAACTTCTGTTCTTAATCTTAGAGGTATTCAATATTAATTTCCAAAATGACAAATAATTAACCATAAAAACTGATTTAGGTGTTATTATGAGAATATTATACTAATATCATTTTCAGCTTACGACATCTGTTCAAAGTCATTTAAACTTACAAAGGACTTATTTATTTAAAAAGGCAAATGAAAGCAAAATAATTATGTTTTATTGAAAATTCAGAAGCATTACAGTACTTTAAGACAGACTTTTTCATATTCTTTTACAAAGAAAAATAAAACAATTGACTCGAGCACAATGATATTCAGTTCTAAAACTAACAAAATCCTTTTGAAAAACAAAAATCCACAGCTTGATTTATTTAGGTCATAAGCATGTCTTTTCCTATTTGTTGCCTAAAAAACTCAAATGCACAATTTTTTAGAGTGGTATTTCCAATATATCATCTTTCAGGATCCAATTTAAATGGTAGATTATATTTTTGTCTAGTTCACATAAGTTACTGGTGTGTGTTTGTACATGTGGGTGCACACATTCCAGCAGGAATTAGCCTATTTTAACATAAACTTTAAAGAATCAGAGTGATCCATCATTTCACTTATGGGAGGACAACAAATACCATGTCTAGTCATTTCTTAAGCATATATTCTGATCTCCTAGGCCAAAACCAACCAGTTTCAGAATGATATGAGACCTAGAATTAAATGTTAGTGGTATGTATTAGACTAACCATAATTCTATAAAGTATTAACTATTACAGTCTGCAATTTAATGTTAGAAGTATCCAATCTTTTAGATCAGCTTCTCAAATTATAGTATGAAGAGGGAGCCAAAAAGACCAAAATAAATCAATTTTTTAAAATTAATGTTTATTTTTAGCAAATTATTTTATGCCTCAACATTCATTGAAATACTAGTATTATTTAAATAATTTTATGTAATATATACATCTACTCTACTCTGTATCTTCTCCCTTTTAAATGAAAAATAAGAGATAAAGAAATGGAATTTGGGTACCTATTGTCAACAAATGCATTACTCAGATGCTGCATTGACATCTGTGGTGAAGAGATAGATAGGTATGTTACAGCAAGATCTGTGTTTTTTCACCACTAGAAATGGCATAATATAGAACTTTAATATTTTATACTTTGAAGTTAAACAGCTTCTATGTAACTATTAAGCAAATATTGAGGGAAATCAAATCCCATTAGAAAATTTATAACACATGCAGTGTATAATCCTCTTGTAAAAATTTAAGTGCATTTTCTACACAAGAGGCAGAGATCATTTTAATAAAGAAGAATTAAGGACAGAATTAAAGTGTAATGTGGCATTTGCTAATACAATACTTATTTTCATTTGGTAACACTATCTAAAGTAATCTTCAACCAACAAAAACTCTTACTTAATTGTAAAGAAATCTGGCCATGAGGAATAAATTTCCTCTGACAAAATGTTTGGGAAGCAGTGCTTTAACAACAAGTTGACTCTGATCCTAATAAAACTCTAGGTGTAAGGGAGCAGAGATAACTTGGTAAAAACAGAGCTTCACCAGAGGTAAATAAAGGTTTTCTCCCCTGCCCCACCCATTCAGCAGAGATGACTCTCAGACAAGACAACTTTCAGAAAAAAAATTTCACTGTGTAGTAGATAGATGCTGTCATTTCAAGCATATCATGATGGACCAAAAAACAGTAGACACAAAATTCCACAGGTACAATCACTCTCAATTCTCCCAGCTCCCAAAGTAAAACCAACAGCTGATACAATCAAAATATTTTCTCCAAAAATCTTTAGAAAATGTTATGACTCATAAAAACTAAATTTCAGAAAAATATTACCAATGATAAATATGTATTTCACTGCAGAATCATTGACACTGAACTAATGCATATTCATGAGCATTCTGTGCATCCTGATCTTCCACCAAAGACAGCTTAGTAAGAAATGATTTTTAAGTAATACCAACACAATGCTTAAAAAAAAAAACTTCACATAATGGTTGTACCCCACTTTCAAAAAAAACTGGCATAAAATCTGTAATGATTATGTAGTAATATTATTATCAAATACGCTTAAATAAGAGTGCATTGAAACACTGCATTTAGTGTATCTTAAGAATTAAAACCATTTTCTCCCCCTTTAGCCCTTCTTCCTTTCTAAATTTCAACTTTTTCTTGTAGAATCTTGATAATTTAGTGACTTTCAAATTAGATGTTGAGTCAGCATTATCACTGCATATGAAAGCCCAGTTGACAACATGCTCAAGATGTGTTGATGCTAAATGTAAAATTTATTTTTATGATCAACTATTCAACATTTCATTATATTTTATTAATTCCATAAGGAAATAAATAGGTGAAAGTACAAAAATAAAATTTCACACAGACTATAAATACATTGTGAAGATAGCTGACAAAAAACTAATGCTATTTTCCATTAAGCAATGGTTTTTTTAATCATTTTACAATTTATAAATTTTTAAAACGTCTAATTTATTTTTAGATTCAAGATTATATAACATTAGTTTCAACGAAGATTACTTTTCCTTTTCCATATTCTCTTAGTATGAATAAAGACTCAATGTAACATATTTAATACAAAAGTATTACAAAAACTATTATTGGCAATACTTAATGTAAATGTTTTTAAGAAGTTTTGATTCTTATGAATCTGTAGCAAAATAAAGCTTCTGATATATCTTTAGGATCATATTGATGATCAGTGAATGACATAAGCAAAAAATATCTATGTAAACATTTATATACAAAAATAGAGAATATAATCTCTACAGTGAGTTTAATGGCATCTTGCAGCATTATCCATTAGACTACCACCAGGCCAATTAAAATGTTCCATGTTTTAAAGTTTGAATTTTTTTAAGTCAAAAGAAATTCTTCTCCTTATGCTTTAAACTTAATAATTTTCATCTTCCACATCAAATGAGATTATTTGTTCTGGTTATTAAGTGTGCTTGAAGAATTTGGAAGAATAGAAGGTATTTCTCTGGAAGATACCTGGAGTGTCTCAATATTTAGTTAATAGATTATTATTATTTGAATTTTTCCTATCAATGCATTTTAAAATTTTTTTTTAGTTTTTATAGTTGGACACAATATTTCTTTTTTATTTATTTTTATGTGGTGCTGAGGATCGAACCCAGCGCCTCATACACGCTAGTTGAGAGCTCTACAGTCCCAGCCCCCTATCCATGCATTTTATGGTTCTTTTATTTTGCCCAATCAGATCAATGAAAGACTGGAAGAAGGAAAACCATAAGGCTGAAAAAATCCACAAGTCCTATATTTCGTCAGTATCTATTTTCTGCTGTTAAGGAAGATAGTGCCTATGAAACTGAGGGAAGAGAAGGAACATAAGGAGAGCTCCAGCCACAAACACTGCAGCACAGCCCATTCTAGCCCACCATGTCATAGCAGCAATGGTCTCAATTCTGTATTAAAAAACAATTGCTTCTTTCCCTTGCTGAGGTATGAAGCCACAGTGCTCGGTTCTTAGTTTCCTGGTTTTCTGTTCAGGTGATGTATACTATTCAAAGATCATATACCCACTTTCAAAATATAAAAATATAATTAAATAGACTCAACAATAAAATTAAACTGAAGATAATTTATTCTTGGATGTGATGTGAAAAATAAAATCCCTGGCCTGGTAGTCAAGAAATCAGGTTCTCTTTTTCTCAAGCCCGAGCAGCCTTGACCAAGTTGCTTAACTTTTCTGAGTCTACACTTACAACTTACAAGGAATTGTACTGGGTAACCTTTAAAGTCCCTTCCAAATCTGACTGAAACACTAAATCAGAATCTTGCTAAGTACCTCCTGCCTAATATGAATATCACCTACTATACAGTACAGTGTAAAAATAATTCTGTTTGGGGGATTTTCTGATGCTTATATCATGGGAAGTATATTTTCCAATGGATGGGCTAAGCATAAGTAAGTATTTGGCTAAATACCTAATAAAAACAATCCATATTTTCTTACGTTATACAAAAAGCTTACTCTGATATTCACTTGGATGGTCTAGAGAGAGACTTTTGTTATGTATGTCCTGATTTAATTCCCAAACTGCTGAAGTCCTATATCTCCTCAATTTGGTGGCAAAAAGGTAGCATGGGGGTAAGAGAGAAATCTTGATTAAAGTGTTTCTTACAAAAATTATAAATAATTTAGAAATAGTTTTATTCTTTAACTTTTTTACATTTTAATTTTTCTAATTGTCCAAAGTAATTTAAACATTATTGGTATTATTTAAAGCATGTCATAGTTCACCATTACTGGTAAAGTATTGTAGTTTTCTGCCAAAATATTAACACTGTGCCAAAAATGGGGAGAGGATGATCTATTTTTGAGTATACGGTGATGTGTATTTTACTGTTCTCATTTTAATTGCTTTCAAAACTGAGACAAAAGTATAAGAATCTGAACTCTGCTTCTGTTATTTCAAACCAGATGCTAAGCATGTTGAATTCAAACTCAGAGAGGGATTTTGTGGAGTACCAGTTACATCTCTGGCAGTTGGATAAATAATTTCTTCAACAGTTACATATGTACCTAATAAGAAGCCAACAACTCCAGTGAATGCTATAGAAATATTTTTCAGGATCATCCATATATTGTAATGTTCCTTAGAAAATGTAAGAATTTCAACCAAAGGTGGTAGAATCAGGGCCAACGTGCTGCTGCTCACAGCTCCAACGAAGGAAATCACGATGTCTAAACGAGGAATAAGAATTGCTCCAGCACCTGAAAATAAAAATACATATTTATCTAGTTTAAATATCTAGTACTTACATGAGTACTAAATACAATATGAATACTTACTGAATACTAAATACTTTTCAATATAGTGAAAATAGCTAATGGAAGTCAGACTACTAAACTATTGCTTTGGAAGACTCTGCTATAGTTTTTTTCTGAGCATATTTAAAAAAGGGAAAAGAAGTCAAAACAGTAGAGTGATACTTCTTGAACTTTGACTTGTCAACAGTTTTGTATATAAACAATGTTTAATTTTTTGCTCTAGGGAAGTTTGGATAGTTTATTTCCAAAGTATTTGAATTATTCTGCCTGTCATACAGATCATTCTACAATACACAAAACAAGGGGTGATATGATATAAATAAATGAGAGAGAAGAGACACCTAGTCCTTACAGTAATATTCCAATTAATCAAAAAGGAAAGAGTGATGGAAGTAGAAAATCATTTTAACCAAATACCAACATAATCATTGAACAGGAAAACTCACTCAAGGATGTTACAAGTGGACATCAGGATATTTACAGAGTCTCACAATACTTCCCTACAACATACTAATTATAAAAGGAAAAATAGTGTCTTTAAAATGGAGATCTAGGTCAGAGACCATGTTAGCCAAGCGAACAAAGTTGATATCACCAGTGCAACATACTAAAACCATGATTTGATGTACTGAGAAGTGCAGAGCATCACTCCTTTGTAATTATTTTTTAAATGCTTGATTTTACTCATAAGCAAGCATCAGGAAAATCTAAACTGGACGAAATGCTACAAAATTACTGGCACTTCAAAAATGTCAAGTTCAAAGACAAAGAGACAAAATCAAAAATAGAAAGACAAAGACAAGGACTATCAAGATTAGAAGAGACTAATAAGACATAATAACTAAATTCAAGTTGAACCTTGGATTGATTCTCAGACCAGAAGAGAATATTAATGGGAAAATTAAAATAAAGTCTATATATTGGTTAGTACCATTATACCATGTTAATTTCCTGGATTTTAATAATTGTATCATAGTGATATAAGAACATGAGAGGAAGCTATGTAAAAGATTTATAGGAATTCTACCTTCTTTTACAACTTTTCTGTTACATTACTTCAAACTAAAATGACTTTTAAATAAACTAAGTTTAGCTCAGTCTTTATTTATGGGGTAGTGTGGTAATTTGATACATGTACATAATATATAATACTCAAATCAGGATAATTAAACTAGGCAGGGTGGCACATGCCTATAATTACAGGGGGGTGGGGTGAAGGCAGGAGAATTACAAGTTTGAGGCCAACCTGGGCAATTTAGCAAGACCCTATCTCAAAATAAAAAATAAAGAAAAGGTTGGGGATGTGGATTAGTGTAAAGAATCTATGGGTTCAATACCTAGTACTGCAAAACAAAAAAAATCAGAAAGATTAGCATTTCCATCTTCTTATCATTTCTTTGATTAGAGAGCATTTCAGTTTATCTTTTCTGTCATAAAATATATAATAGGTTATTTCAAATTACAGTCACCCTACTGTATTGTAAAACACCAAAACTCATTTCTCCTAATTGCATGCTTCACTATTGTCAGAAGAATTTTCTTCCAAGCCATTTTCAAGTTTGTAATTTGTAGTTGTAGCCTGGTGCTTTCTTGATCTTATCTTGATCTTATCAAAAGGTGTCAACAGAAATATTTATAAACATCAAAAATCATAGTCCTTCTTCATATTATATTTAAATTGTGATTTATTGAGAGTTTGGAGTTGCTAGCAGAAATAACAGCCTAATTTGCTCCATGCATGCTGTGGCAACACCACCATCACTGTCATCAATGACAAACATATCACCAAAGTTTTTTCTTTGGGGCCAATTATGCCAGTGTTGACTCTCCTTTACTTGTCTTCAAATACCATCATTTTGTCTCTAATTCTTTGTTATCTCTCTAAGTTCATTTCCTTTTGCTTTTCTTGTTTCTATCTTCTTTGTCTTTTATTAAATTTTCTGTGATATATCTATTTCCCTACATATGGTTCAAGTGAAATACTGCTGTGAGAAACCATGTGGAAAAATACTATATAATGTTATTATTTATATATTAAATTTCACCAAACATTTAAAAATCAAGTAGTAGTATAATTTCTTTTTGTTGTTGTTGCTTTAATTTTTGATTCTAATTTGTTATATATGACAGCAGACTGCATTACAATTCATATTACAGAAGTAGTATAATTTCAATGAGTTAAAGCCATATTTAAAATCTTATATAACCAATATATATTTGCTACTGAAAATGACTTGAAAAATGTCATTTAGTAATGATATGAGTAGACAAAGTAGTACATAAACTTTAGACAAATCCATAATACAAAAACTCAAATGGGCAAATATAATAAAATTAAGGAATGTTTAAGATAAGAATAGTTTAGTTTTTTAAAATATTCACTATGGGATTATTATAAATACATTGGCCTGTGTCATCTACAGACAACTATCATAAATAGATCTACTAAGTGCTAAATAAACTTATTCTACCCATGTGCATAAATGGATAAAGATATTAAAAATTCTGGCCTCTATTAATATGTCTACAGAACCCTAAAGAAAGAAATCAAAGAAGACCTTAGAAGATGGAAAGATCTATCTTGCTCTTGGATAGGCAGAATTAACATTATCAAAATGACCATACTACCAAAAGCATTATACAGATGTAATGCAATTCTGATCAAAATCCCAATGGCATTCCTCATAGAAATAGAAAAAGGAATCATGAAATTCACCTGAAAAAATAAGAGACCCAGAATAGCTAAAGCAATTCTTAGCGGAAGAGTGAAGCAGGTGGCATCACTATAGCAGACCTTTAAAAATTATACTACAGAACAATAGTAACAAAAACAGCATGGTATTGGCACCAAAAAAGACTGGTAGACCAGTGGTATAGAATAGAGGACACAAAGACTAACCCACAAAATTATAATTATCTTATATTAGACAAAGGTGCCAAAAACATTCATTGGAGAAAAGATAGCACCTTCAACAAATGGTGCAGGGAAAACTGGAAATCCATATGCAACAAAAATTAAATTAAACCCCTCTCTCTCACCATATACAAAACTCAACTCAAAGTGTATCAAGGACCTAGGAATTAATTTTTTTCTTTTTATTTAGTCCAATTATCAAAATGTCAATAAAAGCAATGTATGAAAACATTTAATTTTTTAAAATAAATTTTTCCTACTGGATGTCTCATGAACCACCAGAAAATGGGCTCATCAACTTTATTTAGCAATATGATTTCCCTTATAAATTGATGTAACTCTTTTATATCATTACTTTAATAAGTTTTATCTATTCTTTCCAGTTTTATTTTTCTCTTTCTAACAAAATATAATACAATCAATTCTTTAAATATAGGCACAAGCTCCATCCACACTGCTCAGTGTGATTTATGGAGTTGACCAGAAGTTCTAGGTCTATATCCTCTAACCCTAAATGGGCCAAAACAGAATTCCCAGTACTGCTTGTTCCTTGGAATACCAGTAATATGACCATTTTAGCAATCCCAGGCTAGTCCAGTGTTGTAATGCTTCCTGTTATAATAGTTGATTTGTGATAAAATAATTTTAAGAAATTCAACAATAAAAATTATTTTAATACAAGTATGCAGTGATACTTACAAGTAATACTAACCAAGAAGGATCTTATCCCAAATTCACAAATTTGCTTCCATTTAGCATGAAATTTAGATGTGACTCCAGGGATAATGATTTCTGCTGGAACATAGAACTGAATTGAATATGTCACAAAGATGCCAAAGGAATACAAAATTTTCACTGATTGATATAACCTGTTGAGAAAAATCAAAAATTTAGTCTTAATATGAATCTAGCTTACCTCCTTTTTTTTTTGATAAGATAAACAAGAAATTCAGAAAAACAACAAACAAACTTGGACTAGAACCCACTAACCAAAAATATTGTTTGTAAAAAGTCAACTGATCTCCACTAATTAGATTTCTAGATGATATTTGAACTTTGACAAGCCTGGAAAGTTTGGACATGGCATGCAAAGGTTGGCTATCTACTATTGGGAAGACTTCACTGTGGGCTAAGGGTTAAGCCAGTGTTCTGAGGGTACGCTCAGCCCCATCAAGAGCTGATGTTTTTCAACTTTCTTTTTATAAATTAAGCATATTTGTTGTCTCTGAAATCTTGAGACATGACTCAGCAATCTGTATTTAGAAGAGAAACTTCAGTGAATTCTTAATCATAGTTTATCTTGCTTAAAAACCTTGGTATGATGTTATTTGCAGCAGAAATAGGAGGGGTCTAAACAGTTTCAACATGCAAAGTTTTCTAAATTATACTGCCTGTGTTAAAATTATGTTAATAATGGAAACAGAGTTCATGGAATATTCTTTTGTCCAAAAAATTTTATCTCTTTGAAATTCAGTACTTCAAAATAGCATAGAAATTTTAAGTTTCATTAATATTCTTAGATTTCTTTTAAGAATTATTTTTCAATAGATACCTAATAATTATACATATTTATAAGTGTACCACTATAGTATATTTTGGTATGTGTATAAAATGTGTGATCTCTGAATTTCTACATTATAGATAGCCTCCTATCAAACTCAGTATGCATATTTGATAAAAATTTTAGTAAATTTCTTTTTGTCTGGCAAAAGATTTATTTTATTTATTTATTTGGTACCAGGGATTGAACCCAGGGGTGCTCAGCCACTGAGGCACATCCTCAGCCCTTTTTATAAGTAATTTTGAGATAGGGTCTCCCTAAGTTGTTTTTGAACTTGTGATCCTCCTACCTCCACCTCCCAAGCTACTGGGTTTACAGGTTTGCAACCACGGCACCCAATGAAGATTTTTGTAATATTAAAAATGACAATGAATAGAAAAACATACAATAACAGGTCTCAGTAGAATATAACAGAACCTACACCCTTGGGCTATAGAAAATAAAATTAATGTGTTCTATTTTTAATATATCAGTATTTCCCAACAGTCAAAAGAAACATCCAATCAGTCTTGTTTGTTTGTTTTTTTTTAAAGAAACAAACTAGTGAGGAGGCAGGGAACTGAATGTGCTATGGCGTTAGAGCAATGATTAACGTGTGTTCTCTTTTAGCAGCAACATGATCTATAATCATAGACTTTTCACTTAAGAGTTCTACTTTCCCTCCTAAGAGTTCTAAGCACAGGGAATAGTATTTTCTTAGGATATAAATTATTTATAGATTGGGGCTGGGGTTGTGGCTCAGTGGTAGAGCATACATCTTGCATGTGTGAGGCACTGGGTTCGATCCTCGGCACCACATAAAAATAAAGGTACTGTGTCCATCTATAACCAAAAAAAATATTAAAAATAAATAAATTATATATTTATAGAGTTTTCTTTCTTAGTATATAAAATCATTTAGGATATATATCATTTCTTAGGATACAAATCATTTAAAAGGATATAACACATTCTACTTTTAGTAAAATGTTTAATTAGGCTTTAAGTTTATTTCTGATGTCTCAAAAACTTAAGTAGTAAGGATTATAAACAGTTCTTTAAACTGTGGCCAAGCAAGAAGAAATTCCATAAGTATCCTGTTATAACATATTCATCACATAATTAAGAAGATATTGCTAAGTGAAGTTAGCCATTCCCAAGAAAACCAATGCTGAATGTTTTCTCTGATATAAGGAGGCTGATTCATAGTGGGATAGGGAGAGGGGGAGCATAGTAGGAATAGACAAACTCTAGTTAGGGCAGAAGAATGGGAAGGGAAGGGAGGGGGCATGGGGTTAGAAATGATGGTTTAATGTGATGGACTTTACTACATGTATGAAGACACTAATTGGTATATTCATATACTTTGTATACAACCAGAGATATGAAAAATTGTGCTCTATATGTGTAATAAGAATTGTAATGCATTCCACTGTCACATATAAATAAAAAATTAATTAAAAAAGAGAGGTATGTTTTGTTCCTGAGAGGTATATACCATCACTGGAGGACACTTGATAAGACAGAACACAGATATTACTATTTGCTATTCAAGTCTTCTCAAGAACTTATTAAATCATCATTGGCACTCAGTGATTACCCTCAAGTCTCTGCACCTTCAACTCTCCTTTACAATAGAGATACAAACTAAAAATCTCCATCTCCATCTCTGTTCTGAGATCCATAAATTACTATTGGAAGAGTTAAGAGACAGATGAAATTTAAATACAATCATCTAGAAGATTTTAAAATTATGCGGTATTCACTCTCAAGCCCAAACTCAAAAGATAATTCTTAACACCTCTGCTGCTAATCTAATTCCACATTCTGTGTTTTAGGGATTTTCCAGATCAAACTAATATAAACACTTTCTAATTAGGACCTCCATGTTGGTAAGGAGATTCTATAACTTCAAGTAATACCAGTAACATGTAAGAACCTGACATTTATATGAAAAAAAACAACAACAAATTATATGAGGCAACCACAGTCCTTATGAAAATGAACATTTCTATGGTCCATATTATCATTTACATCACACATTTTTGAAGTCCTGTATTTGACAGGTTGATAATTTCTTTTTGGTTATTCTTCTTGCAACTGCCCTGAAACACTTTTTTTGAAAAAATCCTGAATTATATATTCCTTCTGGACTGTGGCAGTGTGCTTGGGGTTTTCCAAACTATAGATTATGTGGCGAACTTTTCTAAAGTATAGATTTTACTCCAAGACAGAATTTTTGAGAGAAAATTATTTTGAAAGAAAATGATTTCTGTATAAACTAGAATGCAAAAGGTATACTTTTTAAAAATAAAGTATACACTGATGTTGTGCTAAAGTTAGGCCATGTTGGGACCTGTCCCAGGACTCCCGAGGGAATGCTTTTCTTATTCTTCTATCTGGGTTGCTGCTATAGTATGGATAAGTGTTCCCCAAAGGTGTATTTTATAAAGGTTTGGTCCTCAGATTGGACTTTAGGGAGGTTGTGAAATTTTTAAGAGAAAAGGTGGGATCTAGTGGGAGGATCTCAGGTCCCCAGGGGCATGCCCTTGAATGGAATAATGGGTCCTTCAGTCCTTTTCTCTTCTGACTTTCACTTCCCAGTCATGAGGTAAGTGAGTGATTTTTACTCAGTCATGTGCTATTGCTATGATGTTCTGCCTAGTCAGCCATGGACTGAAACCTCCAAAACTTTAAGCCAAAATAAAACTTTTTATTTTATAAGTTTAATTATCTCAGAGTAATGAAAGGCTGGCTAAAATAGTTACTCTTTGGGAAAAAAGCTAGCAAAACATTTGAATAGAACTAGAAGTCATGTCTTGATTATACTATTAGGTTACACAGGAAATGCTTCTAAACTTATAATAGTATTTTGTGAATTTACTTTATTATCACCTTTAAAATACACTCCTTGCTTCAAAAGCCAAACATATTACCTTGAATAGCATTATTCATAACCAGCTTTTACCGATGACAACTCAGGAATACTGAAGATGTAATAACTTGGAACTTCTATAATTCACACTCACTTCATCCTAGGGTCTCTCTCTAATTCAACCTTTTCTTGAAAAAAAACAGCCGTTATAATCTCTGAGACTAGTCAATTTGGCATCAAAGTCCCCTTATTCCTTGCCATGGCTAATAGTCATTAGGTCCCTGAAATGCTCTTGCTAGAGTCATCAGCTTTCATACTCAGCCACTGAGTACACTGTACACTCTGTACCTTCCAAGGCCTTCTGTATTAAATACAGAAAAAGAAGGGAAGAAAAAACATTAAAGAAAGGAATCTCAGATATAATCTCAAATTACACTAATTGAAACTTCTCACTTTATAAACAACTATAACTGTAAAAAGACGGACAAAACTTTTTCTGTATTCCTAGGCATGACTATTATTTTAACATTCCCACAGGTGCAGAGATCAAAAAGAAATATTACAGGCCACCAAAAGCATATTTCCACAATGAAAAGGAATGAAGCAACAGAAGTTCTCTCAAAGGAAATATTCATCTTGACATGCTTTCCTATTTTTTTCTGTTTTTGTTATTCTTTGAATAATTATTGTAGGTTCACTAAATGAAAAGCAGGTGACTTGCTAGACTTTCTTGAGTAGAAACTATGATCAATTTATTAGCCCCCCTTTTAATCAAATGAGTTCCATTCTAACCAGAGAGCCATATCAATTAGGGGGTAAGAAGTAGCTGTGGGAACAGAAAAAGATTAATTAGAGCTACTACATGGACAGTGTCATGTCCCAAGATTGAGCTGTGGATACCAAAAGAATTCCCTCTTATTCCTGTCCATTTTTCCTTCACCATATTCTTACTTGTCTTGGGATAAGGAATATATTATTTTGAATGTGTGCATATTTCCTCTTCTGTCCCTTCTCCCATAAAATTTTCCTTAAATGCTTTCTGAATAAGAGTAGAGAACAATTTTGAGATTGCTTCTACCTGTTTTATATTCAACATTAAAACTCCCTTTCACATTTCTCAAAAGAAGACATACAAATGTCCAACATATAAATGAAAAAATGTTCAATGAGAATAAAAACCACAATGAGGTATCTCACCTTACTCCACATGAGAATGGCTCCTCTCAAAAAGATTAAAAAAATAACAAATACTGGGAAGGATTTAGAGGAAGAGAGACTTTATACACTGTTGATGGAAATGTAAATTAGCATAGCCACTATGGAGAAAAGTACTGAGGTTTCCCCAAAACTAAAATTATACCTATCATACCATCCAGAAATCCCACTGCTGGCAATATCATCAAAGAAAATGAAATCAACATGATGAAAAGACACTTTATTGTAGCACTATTTACAATATCCAGGATATGGAATCAACCTAAATGTTCACCCATGAACAAATGAATAAGAAAATGTGGTGTATATATACATATGCAATGGAATAAAATCCAGCCATAAAAAGTATGACATCCTATCATTTGTGACAACACATACAGACCTGGAGGACACTATGTTAAATGAAGTAAATCAGGCAAAACCAGAAACTACATGATCTCACTCATGGATGTGATGGCACAGCAAGGTGAATGTAATTAACAATAATGCATGATCTCTCACTCTCATGGATCATGTAAAGAAGCAGAGGTTTCTATCCTCATAAAGGATAAAATGAACTTCAAGCCAAAATCCATCAGAATGGACAATGAAGGACATTTCATACTGCTTAACGAAATTATCCATCAACAAGACATAACAATCATAAATATTTATGCCCAAAACAAGGGAGTGTCTACATACATCAAACAAACTCATCTCAATTTCAAGAACCAAACAGACCACAATACAATAATACTGGGTCATTTTAACATGCCTCTGTTGCCACTGGATAGATCCTCCAAACAAAAACTAAATAAAGAAGCTACAGAAGTAAAAAAATACAATTGATAATTTAGACTTGACATATATAAATTATTTCATTCATAAATGACTGAATACACTTTCTTCTCAGCAACACACAGATCTTTCTCTAATATAGACCATGTTATGTAAACTATCACATATGTTGGCATCAACTATAATATTACCTTAATATATTTTTTAGCATTTGTAGAGTTATCTTAATATCTCCCTTTTTATTAATATTAATTTTTGTGTTCTTGCTTTTCTCTTAATTAGAATTGTTAGATTTTTATCAAATTTTAGCTGTATTATTTCTTCTCTATTTCATATATTTTTGCTACTGTTCTTATTTTTTCCTTCCTACTACATAATTTGAAAATAATTTGATTGTTAGTCTAGCTTCTTTCTGATACAAGTACTTTAAGTTATAAATGTTCATCTGAGAACTGTTTGATCCCAAAGATTCTAATATCTTAAGCTTTTATCATCACTTAATTCAAAGCATTTTTATTTACTTTTATTATACATTCTTCCTTGACCTCTAAGACATTCATAAGTGTTCATATAGGAAACACAGTCTGCATGATTTCAAATTTTTTAAAAAGTAGTGGAAATGCTTTTTACATTGATTGTATTGGTTACAATACATATCAAAACTGATCAAATTGCATAATTGAAATATGTGAATTTTATTGTACTTAAATTTTACCTCAATAAAGCTACAGGAAAATTTTTTAAAAATGCATGCTCTCTTCTCAAAATACTTGGAGGAAGAAATTTGAGTATATTCACCATGAGGAAAAGATAAAAATTTGAGATGATGGTTGATTCCTATCCAATGTATATCTGAATGAAAACACTGCATTCTGTCTAATAACCATGTAAATATTATGTATCAACCAGAAAGTTAAAAATATAAATAATAAAATATACCTGTCCAATTTTAAATTATTATTTTTAAGATTGAGACTAAATGTTACTGGCTTATAATTGGAAAAATATATATTTTCTAGATATTTTATAATATTCAAAGTATGAACTATACTATCATAATTTTTAGCCTTCATTCTTTTCAACTAAGTTGTTTAAGCTTTTAGTCCTTATATATGAAAAAGAAAAATATATATTTGAGGGAAACCAAAGTATGTAATTAACTATAGCATGGGTAAATTAAATATATATATAGCTTCTTTGCAATCATGACTCCATCCTGAAATACATTTACAACATTTGAAACATGTTTCCACCTTGAAACATTAACAAAATGTCACTAAGATAAAATTATGATTAAAAAAGTTAGATAAACACACTGAATGTGTGCCCCCTGACACCTGGAAACTATCCTACTTACATTCCTCTGACTTGAATGGCTTCCTATGTGCATTTGTCCTAACAAAATATTTAATCAAAAAATTCCCTGAATGCAAATGATAATTAAATAACAGACAAACTCTCATCAGGAAGCCATTCAGAAAACACAATTTCTGCTGTTGCTCATTTTCTCTATACTGGTGAGATATTTTAAAGTTTCACAGACTTCCAGCCAGGCATGGTGGCGCACACCTATAATCCCAGTGGCTCACAAGGCTGAGGCAGGAGGAACATGAGTTCAAAGCAAGCCTCAGCAATTGTATAGTAAGGCCCTAAGCAATTCAGTGAGACCCTGTCTCTAAATTAAATACAAAACAGGGCTGGAGATGTGGCTTAGCACTTGAATGACCCTGAGTTCAATCCCAAGTACCCCAAAAGATAAATAAAGTTTCACTGACATCCAGCCAAGTAGCTGAAGGAGCAGTGTGACATTTAGTAAAACAGCAACTTAGCATTTATTCTTTTCATTTATCAAAACTAAGGCTTTATCCATTTTGTAAATAAGAGATTAAGTCTATATCATTATCACTGCTCATACTTTGTTAAAATTCCCAAACACCAAAAAACTCTAGGAAAACTCACATATATTGCTTCATTTACAAGACTATGATTATAATATTAAAACACTAAGATGCATCATTTCATTATTAGTAATGAGTCCCAATTGGATTCTGAATCAATTTGAAGTACATATAATACAAAGCTGACCAGTAGAATACTAAGGACCATAAATGATGACATGTTATTTTATCAAAAACCCAATGTCTTTGCTTTTTTGGCAGCAAGAATGAGTATTTTTCTATTACAGTGTGTCCATATTACAATAATTTATATTTTGCTTTTACACATGACTCATGTTTGAAACACAATTTTTTTTAATTATTTTTTTAAATCCCACAGAGATCCACAAATTCATAGATGATCTCCTCAGAGACTTATGAAAAACCCAGGTTACCCAAATAAATAAATCACAGTGAATGTTTTAAATGATTAAATCATAAATCCAACATACCTTTACCATTGAAGGCAGTAAGCTCTATCTATAAAATATAAAAACTAGGATGAACTCATATCCACCTACCATACATCCTGGGGAAGATTCAAAGTTATGCTGCCTTTGATTTCATCACGAAAGCACATATATCCTAAAGTAGCCAAAGTCACATACAAAGTTGTAACGATGCCCATGCCAATATTCAGAGCTTGAGGGAAGCGTTTTGAGTCTTTCATTTGGTTTTCCAGTGGAAGGACCTAAAATAAAAAATATAATTATTTTAAAGAGAATGTGACTCAAGTATGTTTGAAAATATCAGGGTCTCAAATTGGTCTTTTTATAGTTTATATACAAAATCTTTCTTTAAAATAATGCATATAATTATTAAAGGATTTTACCTTGTCCTATATTTTCTACAATAAACATTAAAATGTTTTTTTAAATATTTAAAAATCAGTCCTTGGCAGGCAAACCTGTCCATTTCTTAAATATTTTTTTTATTTTTGGAATAATTTTAGATTTACAAAAAAGTTACAGAGTTCTCATATATCCCTCAAGAAGTTTCCCCCACTGTGAACATATTACTTACCATGTCACACGTGCTACAACTATAAACCAATTTTTTATGTTATTATTATTTGTGCATTTCTAGTAACTAAACTCCAAACTTCATTTGTATTAGATTTTTCATTAATGCCCTTCATCTCTTCCAGAGTCCCATCCAGGATAACACTGCATTTTGCCAGCTTTCATCCTATGTCTTTTCTAATCTCTGGTAGTTTCTCAATCTTTCCTTCTTGTTCATTATACTGAAATTTTTTTTAGCAGTATGGATTATCTATTTTGCATAGTATCTCTCTATTCAAGTTTGCCCAACATTTTTTTGTGACTAGTTTGGGATTATAGGTTTTAAAGAATACCACAGAAGGGAAGTGCTCTTGTCATCATATGCTTTTATGCCTGGTGAAGTTCATTTTGATCACTTCATTAAGGTATTTTGCCAGGCTTCTCTGCTACAAAGTTATTTTTTTCTCCTTTCATCATGTTCTTTTTATATTCTAAATTGAGCCCATACTCCAAAGACTAATGGGAAATTAACTACACCTTCCAGAGGGAGAAGTCTCCACATAAATCATTTGAGATTTTGCCTCATGTATTTATTTGCTTAATCATTTATTCATATTAGCTTGGACTGACATAGATTTGTTTAATATATGGAATTATAATCAAATATTCTTGTTATGCATTTGGTCACACATATTGCTTTAACCTTGGCCATTCTGAATTCTATCAGGATAGCTCCTGTGTCCCTTTGATGTGTCTCCATTCTTTTGTTTTTAAGCATTTCCTTACTTTCTGGCACTCCAGACTCATACTGAATTTATTTGCTTCAGCCCTAAAATCAGTCATTTGTCTCTAAAGAACTTGAGTTCTTTTGTTGGAAAAGTGTATTTAGAAATAAAGATCTGGGTTATGGGCATGCTTGTTTCTTCTAGATGTCACTCCTTGTAGGTCCTATCAGGAGACAGAGCTAGGAAATACATGTGTGTATACTAACACATGTATGCATACATCTGTAACTGGTTCTATATCTATCCATTTGTATCGACTGTCTGTCAATTTCATTAAAGATAGTAACTTTTAAGGAAAAGGCTAATTGAAAAAAAATCAAGGTTTTTAGGTTAATGTTCAAAACATAATTTAACTGTACAGGGAATGACAGTATATAATAAAAATAGCAAGTATTTATTAAGTGTTTAAGTACAGCAGCTATTATTCTAAAAGCTTTGCAATAGCATCTTAGTCAGTTCTCAGAATAGCCCTGGAAGTAGTATCACTATTACTACTCTGACTTTTCATGTAAATAAGTCCATTTCATATGGAAACATTAACTGCTAAAAATTTATATTTGAATTTTATATAACAATATAGTAATAATTTCAATTTACTTCAAATAATCTAGCCTATAAAATATATGGAATTTGCTTAAGTATGTGGAGTACAGATAAAACAAATTGAATTAAATTTTGAAAGCTGGTGAGTTGAATTTTGGAAGCTGGTGATGCTTACACAGGCAGTCATTATATTACTCTCCAAATTTTGTATAGATTTAAAATTACATAATATGATGTTAAAATCATCTAGTTTAGTTTCCTTATTTTACAAATAAAGAAGGAGTTAATACGTTTAAGATTAAACTCTTCATGGAAGAATTAAACTATAATATAAATCTACCATACCAAACTGGAAATCATGTTCCCAGAATAAGGAAAACTGAAATTAGAAAAAAATAAATATGCGTTTTTACATAGCTTCACAATGTTAGTCTTTGAGATAACTTAATATTTAAAAATAATACAGACTAATTCTTACCACTCCTATGCCTTCAAAAGCAAATACAGCAGTACCAAAAAAAAGCGGGTATTTTTTCCAACCAGCCACTATTGGAAGGTTGTGGGGATCTGGCATGTTCTGCAAAAAGGAGAAAAAACAGATAATATATTTATTTATTTTAGAGAATTTGGAAGAAAGAGTAAAATCCCATTCTTCTGAGCTTCACAACAGGAAATGTGAGTTATATATTATATTTCTTTCAATAAACACTTTAAGCAGCCTATGTTAAATGTAGCAAAATGTTAGGATTTAATTGCCAAAGCAACTGTTTTCCTTATGGCCACACATTCCATCTGAGCAAAATTCTCCTGATTACCTGTTTCCACCTGTAAGTTCCAGACTGTGCACACTGGGTGTGGCTCCTGCCACAATAGAAAATACAAAAGCACACTCAGGTCTAGGCTAAGAGCCAAATGGTTAATTAACAAACACTGCTTTTGGTACTCAACAGACAGTCTTTCTCCACTCTACTATCATTGCTCCTTTTGGCCTCTGAGATAACTTGGTTCCTGATTCTGGCTTTCTGTTTCACAGCTCTGCTGCTGCTCCCAGTATAAGTTTCTTCTGGTTTCAGTATTTACTCAGTGAGCTAACAGTTGTTATTACCCTTATTTCTGTATAGGTGACCTGACTCTGGTTTTGATTACATGACACTGATACATAGCCTTGTTTCTAATTCTCACAATCTGACAAACTCTCAAAGGGCATATTTTGTTCAAACTCTCTGGGTCTACAACAACCACTTCTTCCAAAGTCTGGTCCCTACTTCCTCACCATCCTGCATTCTCTGGCTTACCTGACTAGACGCAGAATTCAAGGTCAAGAAAAGCAGATGAACAAAACAACTGAAGCATGAAGCACAGGGACAATTTAGGGAATAGAAAGGGCTGGAACAATGGAAACATAGGTATAACTGTATGATAAAAGGTGATACGGTACCAAAAACGTAGGCTAGGGTTAGAAAAGAAGTTTGAAGGGTCTGAATTATTTGTCACCACTAACTGTTAGAAAAGGTAAGCAGGATGCTATTTCACTTCTTCATGAATGAACTCATGCCATTTCCCTCTATCCAGGGAACCACCTTTTCTGCCTGCTAAGTCTTACACATTCAGCTAAGGGGTCATGAATTCCAGAAAGCCTAATGTGATCTTCTTTCCTGTCCCTTTACACTCTTAAGTACTATAAGAGAGAATAAGGGTTTGGGAAATCAAAGAAGGGAAAAATGAAATACAGATCCACAATAAGAGTTTACAATTAAATTGTTACAGAGATTTGCAACAATTATCTTTGAAGAAACATATAAGAAGGATTAGATCAGGAGGAATAGAACAAGGATTTTCAACCTTTTCTGGGTAACTGGCCCTTTGAGAGATGAAAGCCATACAGCTGCTTAGCAGAGAAAAGTGTGTGTGTATACATATATATGTATATATCTAGAGAGAGAGGGAAGAAAGAGAAGGAGGAGGAGGAAAAGGAGAAGGAGGAGGATTAGAGACAGGGAGAGAGACTAAATCTTAAAAACAATTCTAAGGGATTTGCAGATTCCCTGAACCCTGAGAGGTTTTAAAGAAACTGTGATGAAAAATCCTCAGAATGAATAATAAAATTAGTTCAGGTTATTGCATATACTTCATACAAAGGGATTACAGAGTTGTACAGTGGGAATGGGTTGAAGCAGTGGCAGAATATAAATATGTAGAAGTGAAAGAAAATTGTGTAACTACATACATTTCCTCATAAATTGTTACTGGTTCAAATTTTAAAGGAAAAGATAATATACTTAATAAATTGTTCCTTGTGAGCCACTGTACTGAAACCACAACCCTAAATCTCACAAGAACTCTATGGGGTATGCAGCATCATCTTCTGAAGCACTGACACAAAGCCCAGAAGCATATTTACCAAGACCTAAAATCAGGCCAGACTAAAGAGCCTGTACTTGTCACCACTACTTCACACACTTTCAAATTAGCAGTATCCCCCAGAAAGAAACCAAGGTTTACCACTGTCTGCTGTGGCCAGATGTGCACTAATAGTCTTTATGTGTCATTACTTTTAACTCCAAAGTAAACAAAAGTTTTACTTGTGTAGGAAATATATGACATTTAGTTAAAAATATGTCATACTTACCCTAACAATGTACTGGTAAATTATCACAAGACTGACAGCCATGGAAATGTTGGCAAGGAATGAAAGTACAAATAGATTCTTTAGCTCACGAATGAAGACCAAAAGAATTATAAATGGAAGAAAGCAAAGCATGTATATCCTTAGGTCAATACTTCTTCTTTCACATGGATTTGACGAATTGGTACTATTCAAAACAAATACTTTACTGTCCAAGAATCCTTCATGAACCTATACAGGATTACCAGGGGAATAAGGGAGGAGGAAAGACACACATCAACTTATAAGAGAGAAATGAAAAAAATTACAATCTACATACATTGTGACACACTGTACAACAAAACACTTATATTTCTGGATACTCTGGCTTCCTAGAAACATATAAGAATAATTAAGGTAGGAAAACATTCTTTTCAAGATAACTTATTTTTTGTACTGTAAAAAAGTTCACTAGAAAATTATAAGGATGAGTTTACTAATTTAATCTGAAGCTTTGTGATCATGATGCTCATGATCCCTGCAATGACTCAAAAGATCCATTTCTGAGATCATCAAACTGGGAGCACATTTGTCTAGAATGACCAGGGGTATTCTACTCCAGCTTATTTTCTTCAGAATATAAAACAAACACTAAGTATTTCTTGGATACTTAGTCAAAGTGAAATTTAAAGAAGTCAAAGTAAAATTTAAAAATCACAGACTAACTTTAAAATGCATGTAAAGCAACTATTTATAAATTATCATCATTATCAATATTACTAAGAATCCACAAAATTCACATTGCTATGTTACACAATAGATGATTTTTGCTAGAAAAATTTCTACAATAGAAATCAGTTTCACTTAAAAGCCTATTCACCAATTTTATACTGCAATTTTTATATTTTTCAAAGAAATGCAAGAATTTATAAACTTCATGTTAAAAACTGTCTCTGATTCAGTTAGTCATATAATCCAACTTTCTAAAATAGAAACAAAATTACAGTAGAATTTAGAAACAATCTTCAAAACTTATAGCACAGGCAAATCAGACTATCATTTAAATACCAATGAAAAATTACTTGCAACCAAACCTCCTTTGAACACACTGATATCGTCAAGCATCAGGTTATATTCTTAAGAAACAGATCCTATAATAGTAACAGCTAGCATTTTTTTAGTGCTTTCTATGTATCAGGTACTGAACTAAAAGCTTTTTAAACATCTCATTTAATCTTCCAAATGATTCTCAGAAGTGGGTTACAATATTAATTTCAATTCAAACTAGATAAAACTGAGGTTTGCAGAAGGGGAAAGAAAAAACTTGCATAGTATCGAGCCAATGAGTGGTGGTCCTAGGATGCAAACTCAAGCCTAGATATTAACCTGACCAAAATAGTACTACCTGAAGAAGGGTACTATGTCCAAAAAGCTACCCACCTCTACTCTGACATCTTTCTTGAAAGGTACTTAATATTAAGGGGCAAACAAATCAGACACTTAAAACAAAAATCTGATATGGCTCATAATTCATGTTCCTTTTACTCTACTTTTATACTTAAAATCCATGATAAGAATTGTTTAATTAATCACTACAAACACACATGTCATCTTAGATGGTAGGGAATTTAGTAGATTTTTAAGCTACATAGGCATTTTATAATTCACACTGACCTAACAAACCCTCAAATTATACCATGCACCATTTAAGAAATGCACTGCTCATCATTTCATGTAACTGGCCATGAAAACTTTATATTTTATGTTTTATAATTTGAAATTGAACCAAAATTATTAATTTACAATACTTGGCTTTTAAGAAGATATTCAATTGTTGGCTTAATTTTCTCAGTAACCAAATCTTAAGTCAAGCACTTATCAAAGCAATACTTCTGATAATTGGATTATGTAATGATCAAGTTCAACTCTAACAAAAATTCCTGGTAAGAGAATGGCAGTTACATAAACAAAATTTTAAAGGGATGTTTGAATTATTAGGTGCTTAGAAATTTAAAAATTAGCTCTATCACAATATCTAATAAAAATTTAGCATTCTCTGGCAGAAAGATGGTTATGAAATTTCTCAGGATTAAAAAAATACAATAAAAAATGTAGATACATACCTAGAGCAAGATTCAGGTAAACATTTGAGTCCTTTGGTGCCCTCTAGAGACAGAGATGGGCTAATAGGACTTCCTATGGTCTCACATGTTTACCAAAATGTAAAACACTGGAATAAATATTATAAAATAAAATTACTAAATTCAGTTTTATTCATTTAGAGATCAAATTTACTAAAAACCCACTACTTGTTAACTTTCAATGACTCAGTAATTTTATGATTAAAATTCCAAAAGCAGATTATGTTTTTTAGTAAACTAAATCCAGTATTAAATAATTCCCTACATTTGAATACTGTTTTACATTTCACAAAGGCTTTCACAAACCTTCTGTGTCATCTAAGCCTCACAATAAGTTTATGAGGAACAAGGGTAAATTTTGTTACTACTCCTGTTTTACAAACAAGGAAACAGAGGGTTGGCCAAAAATAAGGGGATCTTGTTTAGTAAGTGAGTTAAAACTGAGAGTAAGGATACGAACTCACATCTTCTGACTATAGTCCATGAATCTGGTACCACTACATTTTTCCCTTTTACTATAATATTTCTTCCTCAATCTCCATATCCATGTACACTATTGTATCTATTTGAAATTTTCTAGAGTATCTAAATCAATAAGGGAAGAGTGATTAGAACCATGATGGCCTACAGTCAAAAGCACTAGGGTTATTTTTCTCTACTGACGATCCATAATGGCTTAATGAGAACAGCAGCAGCTGTGTGGCAGCTAGAGAGCAGGTTTCCATATCTGGATGGCAATGAAACCCTTATTTCTTTGTGTTAATGAAATATTGCACCTTCAATTTCATGTACATTAAGGCAGCTTTTAATGATAATAGCAGTAATAATTGGTAAGGTTTAATTAACCAGTATGTGCACTATTGTATACTGCTATCAAATGTAAAAGAACACCTCTTGAGAGATAATGAAAATCTCTAATCTCATGCTGCTTTGGTGACCATCTACCTACTCTGCCCAGTGATGTGTTCATTATTAATTTCATCTATTTTCTAAAGCCTTTTTGTCTTTTTCCATGCTGCTCTTAATGCCTCCAAAAGAGTTTCACCTTTCTATCCACAGCAGGTGTTCTCTCTGCCTCCTAGAGCAACATGTTTTCTATGTATCTTCTTAGAAAATGTACAAATAAGTTAAACTTTTCTATTCAATTTTGGAAGAAACCTATAATATTTCATAGAAGAAAGCCACCCAAAGCTTCTAGACATTTACTGTCTCCATTTTTTCCACTATTCATGTCACATACACATACATAAACATACCCTTAATATCTGAAAATATCCTGTCCAGAGATAAGCAAATAATATATTGGGTGGCAACTCAGGCAGACACCTAGGTTTCAAACTAATTCCACATAACTTGGAGCATATTACTCATGTTTTGTGAGATTTCTTCATAAAATGAGCATAATACAGTCAGGCATGGTGGTGGATGCCTATAATCCCAGTGGTTAGGAAGGCTGAGGCAAGAGGATTGCAAGTTCAAAGCCAGCCTCAGCAACTTAGTGAGTTCCTAAGCAACTTAGTAAGACCCTGTCTGTAAGTAAAATATAAAAACGTGCTGGGGATGTGGCTGAGTGATTAAGTGTCTCTGGGTTCAATCCCTAGTACAAAATAAAAAGAAGAGAAAAAAAGCATAATACTTTACAGAGCCATTGCAGAGATTATATGCCATCATCGCTTATAAATATAAAATTGCAAGGCATTATCAACATTATTCCTAGATTCAAACAGCTTGCTGGTGACTCTTAGGAGATATTAGAAAATATATAGTGCTATCATGTTGTACAATCCTAGAAAGGTATTATTCCCATAATATTCTATGTAAATGATTGGTAAGATGAGTTATCAGTTCTGAATTTAAATGGCCTCATGATGAATGAGGAGTCCTAAGAATAAGCAATTTCTGAACTTAAATACTTGTAACATCTAATGCATATCATTTAGAGTGAGTAATGCTAATGAAAACACTGACACTTTATTTTGGTAAACAAATGAGTATAAACAGAATTCTAATTAACTCCAATTGCTATTGGTCTTTTCTATATTATCCACATCTCTTATTTCTGCTTCCTTTCACTAGTCTTTCACTCATTATTTTATAACTACAATATCTAAAGGAACAGCAATGATTTATATTACATACTTATCTTCCAGAAAATTTGTTTCATAAGAACTTAATTATTCGAAAGTATCAAGGAAAAGAGAGGAGAGAATAAATAGCCTGGAAGCAGGATATTTGAAAAAAATAAATAGTAAAATGAGGCCAAAAAAACAAACTACATGATTTATTAGAGCTCTCAAGTAGAGACAACATCTAAGATTACCCTCCTATTAAAACTGCTAGCAGTCACAACACCACTGTCTTGACACCATTCTTTTTATAGATGCAGGAAGAACTAGCTTAGTAATAAACTAAGCTAAAACAGTCATGGATGGACTGAAAGAAAAGAGTTGACAAAGAAAATGGAGTGAAGAATATATGAGTAAAGATGAAAATAAGTGGTGCAGACACTATCAATGGGAAAAATCAAACAGAAGGGCTAAACCCTTTCAGTCAACAAAATTTTATTGAACATATGCTCAAAAAAACAGGTACAACACTAGGTTTAAAAAATAAAGAGAAGGAAAATTTCAAAATCCCTCTCACTCTGTTGTGAGTTTATTCCCCTTCCAATCCAATGACCATATTGGTACCTAGAAACCAGGTACTCTTACAAGATAGTTTACAGAGATAAACACAACAAGTACAGTGGTCCTTTTCCTAATGGGGCTTTCAGTCTAGTGGTAAAAAATAATTTATAAATTAACTTTAATGTGATTAAGGCTATTTTTAAAGTGTTATAGAGGCCAGAAGAAAAAAAATCAATAAATTCTAGCAAAAGATGGAGAAAGGGATGGCATGGAGAAATAGCTAAAGGTTTCACAGAACAGCTAACACTGAAAGCCAAGTTAAGAACTCTTCCAAATATAAATAAAACTTCAGTAAATACTGAAAAGTGATATCCTGGGCAAAACACTTCTCTAGAGATCCAAATTCTAGTTATTAAATAACTGGGACCTTTTAAAGAAAACTATGTCATTTCTATAAGAGAGCTCCATTTGGTTTTTCAACATTGAACAACTAAACTTGTGGCTTGAATATAATATACACGGATAATCAAAATCAGAGTTTAGCAAACTACAGCCTACAGACAAATTTGGCTTACTACCTATTTTTCAAATAAAACTTTACTGGAATACATATATATTTCTTTATATATTGTTGTCAAAGGTTAAGTTAAGTAGTTGCAATGGAGACCACATGATGTGCAAAGTGAAAAATCCTTATTATATGATTCTTTACAGAAAAAGTTTGCAAATTCTTGCTCTTAATATAAAACAAAGTATACTTTATACTTAGAAAAAGTGAATTATAAATTTGTATGTACATAAAGATTCTTTAGAAAATATAACTGTATCATCATTTGCATAAAAATGCACTTCTACATATTACTACATGCAATGCTTATTGTACTATACATAGATAATAATAAAAGTTATTGAATGAAAAATGATTAAAGTACAGCAGGGGTAACATAACATCAATCATGAATGGATGTACTTTGGCAATAATCAAAAATAAATAAATAAGGGAAAGAAAGATCTGTAGAGTAAAGGAAGGAGAATAGGAGGAGGCAGGAAAGGAGAAAAAGTGGGAGGGAACAGGGACTGAAATGACGTAAATAAAACTCCATACATATATGATTTTCTCAAAATGTACCCAACTACCACAAATAACTAGAATCTTCTAATAAAAAAATAAATGTGCTTTAGCATTGTTCTGGTAGGAATTTTTATTTCAGTGATTTGCATGTTTATTTAAATAGACAATCTCTACATGAAGGCTATAAGCCACTTCCTCTTAAACCTTTATACTATAGGGAGAATTACAGAAAAATACACATTTTTAGACAGAGTGTCTTTTTAAACAATGGCATAATTACTGCATTTCAGTAATTGTTATGATTTACACATGGTGTCCCCCAAAACCTCACATGTAAGACAATGTGAGAGTATTCAGAGAGGGAAATGACTAGATTGTGAGAGCCTTAAACTAATCAGTGAATCAATCCCTAGTGGGATTAATTGAGTGGTCAGATCTTTTAGTCACAGCAGCAAAAAAGCTGACTAAAACAGAAATGAATGCTGAGTTTTCAACCTCCTTTGTTAGGCTGCTGGTTAAAACCTTGTACACTCTTTACAGAACATGAACATAAAGAATATGCTCCAAAAGTATCTATGGATATGCTTTTGAGATATGTTAGAAGTAACTAAGAATCAGAAAATCATATTATATTTTGATTTGAAAGAACAGGCATTACTGATATTATGACAAGAACAGCAGTATCAATGTTATGGTTTAGATATTAGGTTCCCCCCCCAAAAAAAACTTATGTGTGAGACAATGCAAGAAGTTTTAGAGGAGAAATGATTGGGTTATGTGAGCCTTAACCTAATCAGTGAATTAATCCTCTGATAGGGATTAAACAAGTGGTAACTGTCAGTGAGTGTGACTGAAGGAGGTAGGTCACGGGAGTGGGGGCTGGGGTGGGGGGGTGGCTTGGGTATATATTTTGTATCTGGTGAGTGAGGCTTCTTTCTCTGCTTCCTGATCATCATGTGAGCTTCTTCTCTCCACTATGATGTTCTGCCTCACCTTGAGCCCTAAGGAATGGAGCCAACTGTCTATGGACTGAGACCTCTGAAACCATGAGCCCCCAAATAAACTCTTCCTCCTATAAAATTGTTCTTGTTAGGTGTTTTAGTCACAGCAGTGAAAAAGCTGACTAAAACAATCAACAATAGCAAAAATCCAAATTGCAAAACAGATGACTACAGAAAAATTTACAAATGATAATTTATGAAAAGAATACATTTTCATATTCAACCATGGCTCCTATAGAAGAAATATGATGCTACTAGTAGGACATTAAAGTTCACTAACTGAAGAAAAATACTCACTTGTTTCACATTTTCAGCTAAAAAGACAATATAAACACTGCAGAATCCCAGCTGTGTTATCACCAAAAAAAAGTCAACCATACTCCTAAAAGAGATATCCACAAATAAGCATCAGTAAAAGCTAGTGAAAACTTAATATATGTTAATCTCTCTTTTAAAATATTTTATATATTTTACCTCTTTAAATTAAAAAAATCAAATATTTATTTCCTACACAGATCATTTATTTACTATCAGTATATCACTAGAATTACTATACAGTTTGATGGAAATTAAGTTAAAAGCCCAATATTGTTATATCATTACCTGTTTCTGAAATTTAAATTTTTAAGGAAATCTACTTATAAAATGATTTCATGAAAAATATTTATCTTTCAAATTAAGCCCATCTCTCCTACTTCTCAAGATCTTTCTCAGATTAACCTAGAGTATGGCCCACCGTTTCTAACTTCACATCATTTGAAAATATGATGAACATGCTTGTTACTATCCAAATTACTAATAAGAATACAGAATGTAAGAGGATTAGGAATAGAGCTCTAAGTAATAACATAAGAAACCTTTCCAGTAACTTTTCTCCATTCTTATTATTTAGTGAGATGCTCTAGAAAGTTTTACTTTATAAATAGTATACACAATTTGGGAAAGAATATTACCAGAGACATTAAGCAAAGTGGGTATTATTGGGAGTTTTCAAGTTATAAATTTACCTACATATTGTTAATTTATACCCCATATTTCATTTTTGGTCTAGAAATAATGAGTGATTACTATAGCATGCACTTATTAATTCATTACAGTCTCTTCTCTGACCGTCAATGTTAACAATATGTTTTTAAAAATCTATATTTTTCTTCTTCCATCTAAAACTAGAAGGTCCTTGCATGTTTTCATTGCAACTCCCATTCTCCATGGCTCTTCAGGGATCTTATTTATAATTTATCTTGTAACCATGAATTGTAACCATGAAATGATTTCAAGTTTCTTTTCTATCATGAATTACATTAGAAGTGTTTTAAGTATTCCATTAATATCTTTTCATCCACCTTTTATTTTAGTGTACCACCAACAATCATTTCAGCCACTTCTATCTAAAAGCCATTCTTCATAGAACAGGGGGGAAAACTTGTCTCTAGCCTGGGCCAAAAGAAAGATTTATTTGGTATTCTAGCTTCTGGAGGCAAGTTCCTAGATTGTTAGATTGTTTCTTCCTTCCACTTGTAAATTAGGAACACTGAGAACTTCATAAACAAATCTAACTTCCAGAAAATCTCCAGAAAGGCTACCTTAAACCACAAGCTACTCTACTAACACTGCTTTTTCTTTTCTGATAATTCCCATGACTCATTGGTACCATAGTTAGCACTCTGTTGATCACTTACACTTCCTTACTCTATTCCTATATTCATCTAGCTTATATTCACTGTGTCCACCAATGGTTACATTTAAATAATAAGACAATAAAATAAGTTTATGTTAAAATGTACCCAAACATGAGATGACTTATGCACAGCTTTATTTGAAATAATGAGGTTGTCATATTTTTCTCCTTTTTTTTTCCTTTGTTGAAAAATTATTGAACATGATTATGTCATTGGCTGGCTTGATGCTTTGTAAATAAAATTTTATTTAATCTACTACAATAATTCTGTAAAGTATTATCATAAGTTCACTTCATAGTGAAAAGCCAAACCAAAGATATGAATAATTAGACCAAGGCCATAAAACGGAAAATAGTAGAGTTGAGATTTGACCCATATCTAACTCTAAAGGTTATTTGATCCCTTAACTTTTATTATACTTTTGTTTATGTATTTTATCAGACTGAAATACTTACACATGAATATAATTTCAACAACTAGACACTAAAAGCATAGCAAGTACTTACCGTCCCCATGCTGCTTGCTTCTGAAGACAACTCCAAGGACTCACTTCCATAGCGAAACTCACAGTGTCACTATAACCTAATGTTGACTTTTTAAACCTATAATCCAATGACATGCAGACACAGGAAGAAGAAAAATATTAAGTTGGTCCATAAACCATTCCTTACAAAGAACATCAAATAAATGGGAATTAATAAATGTAAGGCTATGCATGATAGGATTTTCAAAATTTGAAAATCTGCATACTCATAAACACACCTCATGAAATTTTAAAATCTGATCTGTCCTTTTCTCCAGCAAATAAGTTTTCATCTACTGCTAAAGAGAGAGACAGAAAGAGAGACAGAGCTTGTGTGTGTGTGTGTGTGTGTGTGTGTGTGTGTGTGTGTGTGTATCAGTAGAATTCAGAAAACATATTAGTACTTTGCTAATTTAAATGTTTCAAATACTTAAAAACATGAACTATATTGTACATATCTAAATTATTACACTTTTAGAACATTATTTAATAATATATATCTGTATAGAGCTTTATAGTATATTTTCACATAAACTATCTCATTTAATCTTCAATATAGCTCCATGAGGTGGGAATTATTTCTCCAGTCTCTTCCACTCTCTTTTTTTAGTATGCCTTATTATCTGAACATCATAAATAACTCAGCCACTTTAAAGAACACTTAACAACAATAATAACCAGCAAGTCAAGACTAGAATACTGGTATACTAGAAGATATTAATTTCAAAAAATTGCTTTATTGTCCAGTAGAAGCATTTCATGATACAAAAAAATTTAAGAAGCATACATGACCTTCTTGACTATCTACAAACCTACACATCAGTGCTGTGATGTGCACAAGAGGTACTGGACCTGAAATTTGAATTATTAAAAACTGAAGACCATTGTGCTATCTCCATTTTGTCTTTATATCTTTCCTGATTATTTCCATTTATACTAAATAAAAGAACTCATTCACTAAGAAGAACATATTTCATTAATAAGATAGGTTCAGTCAGCCCTCTACAGCCATTCATTCCTTACCCATGCATTATGCATGAAAGATACATGGAAAAATGCATCTGTAATAAAGACTTCTTCTTGTCATTATTCTTCAAACAATACTGTACAACTATTTTCATGCTATTTAAATTGTATTAGGTATTAATTAACATGCAAGTACTATGTCATTTTATATGAGGAACTTAAGTATCTGCAGATTTTGGTGTTAATGGGGATCCTGGAACCAATTCCCTGAAGATATCAAGGCATGACTGTAAACACATTCTGACAGCACTTACATCATGTAAAATGCTACCTTTTTCCATATTTTGTTATCTTAGATTTGTCTTTAAAACAAATTAAAGAGAATATAACTTCTGGTTTCAAAGCATAGTATAAATATGAAATGATCTGGACTCTAAATACATAGCTTTAAAATAAATTAAATAGACTTAACAAATCCACATTTACCTCTGACATAGAAAGTGACTGCAACGTACCAATATGTGCATACAGTGAACAGAAATAATTCCTATAAACACAAGGCTGATTGGTCCAAGCTGTGGGAGAGGAAATTTAGAGAGCTTAAACATTTTAAGTTTTAAAAAGTTGAGAAATCTTATAAGCAATGAGTTAATGGGACTTGCTTAAACTGAAAAACCACTCATTGGACAAAACAAAGTCATATGCATAATGGAAAATTAAGATACTTGATATAGAAAGAACGTAAAGTAATATTTAAGACAACCATGTGTACAATTCCATCTTTATGGACTTGATTCCTTAAACCAATGAATGTATAGATATGCAGCATAGGAGAATGGAATACAATATCACATTTAACATTAGATGGCAAGTCTACAACTACTAGTGTCCCACCATTGATAATACATGCAATTACATATTATTATCTAAATGACTAAGAAGCACAATATTGAACTAGGGTTTAGGCAATCCACTGCAGATTCCTTTCTGAAACCTTTCTATATCTGTTAGGAATTTTGATTAGCAAATGATTATTTTAAAAATGATATATCAAAATTTTCAAGTATTTATTTACTAAAATTAAAATGATGACCAGATTATTCAGTCACTGCCACACTAATGCCAAAGTTTATTTTTATAATTGGAAATATTTAGTTACTTAAAATTAGGGTTCACAAAACAGTCAAACTCAGAAAAAGATGATAGTTAAAACTTTTAAAGAAAATACTCAATTTTTTAAAAGCTAACTACTGTTGTATTACTACAAAAAGAATTCTCCCCATCAAAGCTCTCTGAAATTACAATAATTTTCTCTAACAATACTATTTATATATCTGTTTTAAGAGACTGTGACTCTGTTTATTATTTTTCTTTAAAGCTGAAAACTAAATACTTTCTTCTGAGTTACATGACACAAATAATCTGCTCTATTTTTTGCTATAAAATCCAAAATAATAATAAGATATTAGCATATCTGGAAAGATCTGTGTCATGTTTTGGGGGGGAGGAAGTTGATTAAATATTACAAATAAGTAATTAAGTAGAAATAAAATAGTAATTCTTGCTTCTGTTATATCTCACTATTATAGTTCATGTAATCTTATCAATACAACAGGTAAATGACCAGTTAAATGTTACATGACCAGGTTATATTTGATGAGGTTAGATGTTAGCTTACATTAATTTTTGCTGACAACTATATCTTAACTGGATATTTACAAAGATAAGACTTACCACTATTCCTGCATTTTTTATTGCCAATGGAAGTCCTAAAAGGCCAGTTCCAATATTTCCTTTAAGAAGATGCATAAGAGTTTGTAAAAATCTGAAAAAGTAAAAATTGTAGGAGTTAAACGTTTTAGAAGAAAAACTACTAAAATCACATGATCATGATTTTACTATTATATCAGAACTGGAAATTAATCAAAGTAATGAACCAAATAAACATTTCCATTTCACTACTAGTTACATGTGATTCACATTCTGTCTTTGCTACTTAAAAGTGGAAAAGATAGGGTTATTGTGGAGATTAAATGAGATATTTAAGTGAAAGTGGTTTACACATGGGAAATTAATAAAGAAACAGCAATTTTCTTATAAGATATTTAGCTGCTATGATTTTCAGAACAAGGTTGAAGATTAGGCTGTAAGACAGAAATTTATGGGCACTACTATGTAATCATGTACTAAACATATTTTGTGTAGTATTATCAATCTAAGAGAAAGTTAATTAAAATAAACAAAACACAATTTTACAGTTATATGTATGATCAGGTAAGCTAACAATTAATATTTGGATATTGTGAATTATTTAAGAGATTTAGCCTAAAAACAGTTTCTAGGAGGCAACTTAAGGAGATCTCTTGATTAAGAAGAAATGCATTGAAACTAGGAAGAATAGCATAAAATTCAAACTATTAAACAAAAAAAGCTTTAAATTTTTCTCAGCATATAATCTTATGATCAAATTTCATGTTGTTTTGTTTAATCATTAAATTATTATTAGAATATTAACTTATAAATGATTATCAAGAATCAAAAAAGCTTTGAAAAACCTTTCAGTTTTCCTTTTTTTATACCTCCCACTTTGATAGTGTTTACTGCCTTCCACTATCTAATTCTAACCATAGCAGAAGTGGCCTCAATCAGATCTCCCTTCTCTCATCACCCATAGCAACTGATATATCATTATAGTCATTCGTATATACTATTCAGTGGTTTAAATGTTATTTTTTCTTTCCCAAATAGACTATAAACTCCTTGAAGGTGAAGACTACCTCTTATTCATCTTTCTGTCATCTGTAGTATCTGGTCAAATGCCTTGCCTATAGAAGATACAGAATATGAATTAAAAGAAAAGGGAGACATGTGAGCCATCACACTTACGAAATGCCCTCTTGACCATCAAGCTGGTAATGCTTCTGAACAGGCAGGAGCTCTTGCTCATGTTCCTCATCTGATGTCCCATCAGAATTCTGCTCATTTATCAAAGGCCTCATTACATCCATATCTTAAAAAAAAAAATACCAGTACTTTACTACTGTTTAAAGTTGGAAATTTAGCTGGTAGAAATTAATTTAAAATATTAGAAAATACCACTTGTATTTATCTTTACTATTTCCACCCTGAGTTAGTTCACCTTAGCTCCCTACATTTTGATATATTAAAAAGAAACAAATAGACATTTGCTGATTTTCTGTTTGAGTTCTGTAGTACAGAGCAAAATGCTTACATAGTCAATACAAAAGTTTTTCTACTTTGTCTATATGAGGTTTATAGTAAATAATGAAAAAATTATAGGATGAGAAATGGGAATAATCAAATGTTTTCATCTCTGGTTAGCTTCAAATTACATGCTGTATATAAACAGTAATTATGTTTTTAAATAATTTAAGAAAAACAAAGCCATTTCAAAATTTTAAATTTTAGTGTCAAAACTTGCCCTTATAACATCAACATGATTCTAAAAAGAACACAATCTGTTTCTTTCAATTTCAACACTAGTCACCATTGTCTGTCTTATCCTTTAAAAGTTCACAAATTCAAATCAGTTGAGATAACAGACAGCCTTAAGTACAGATTATACAGAAATGAAAGTTTATTTTATCCAAATATTTATCAAAATTCTACATAATGGATAACTTCAGTACCTAAACAAATAATTGAACTGAGAATGGCTAACTGTAAGTTTGTTTTTTTTTTTTTTTTGAACTATTTTGGAATAATTCCAAACACATTAAATCTGTAAAAATAGTATTCCTGTGTATTAATTTTTAACATTCTGCCACATTTACTTTTTCTCTCAAACACATACAGCATTTTATAAAATAGTGGAATGGCTACACATATCATGCTATTTCACTATTAACCTAAAAATGAGAATTTGGGGCTGGGACTGTAGCTCAATGGCAGAGAACTCGCATAGCATATGTGAGGCACTGGGTTCCCTCCTAGGCACCACATAAAAATAAACAAATAAAATTAAGGCATCCATTCCATCTAAAACTACAAAAAAATTTTTTTAAAGAATGAGAATATTTTCTTAAAAACTCACATCATAATTACCAACCAAGTTACCATTGATGCAATACGTTTTTTCTTTTTTATTTGTTCTGTTTATACATGATAATAGAATCTATTTTGATATATTTATACAAACATGGAATATATCTTATTTTAAGTAGGATCCCAGTCTTGTGGATGTATAAAATGTTGAGATTCATGTGGTGTATTCATATATGTACATAGGAAAGTTGATTCACTACATTTTTTTAAATTTTTCTTTTTTTTTGGGGGGGGTGGATACCAGAAATTGAATTAGGGTCACTGGGCCACTGAGCCACGTCCCCATCCTTTTTTTGTATTTTATTTAGAGATAGGGTCTCACTGAGCTGCTTAGCACCTCGCCGTTGCTGAGGATAAATTTTAACTTGGATTTTCCTGCCTCAGCCACATATTTCTGTATTTAATTGAGTTATTCCAATGGCTACCTTAACCAATTATGTCCTTTTTTCTTCCTTTTAATTTTCACTTTTTTTTTTTTTGACAGCTTTGGTATCTTCTGACATCAGGGAGGAGAAAAAAATCTTAAAGGTAAATGAGAATACCAATACATCATATACCAAAATTTCTGGGACACTATGAAGGCAATGCTAAGAGGAAAGTTCCTTGCATTGAGCTCACTCTTTAAAAGAAGAAAAAGTCAACAAATAAATGACCTAACATTACATTTCAAAGCCCTAGAAAAAGAAGAACAAATCTACACCAAAAGTAAAAGAAAACAGGAAATAATTAAAATCAGGCCTGAAATCAATGAAACTGAAACAAAAGAAACAATTGAAAAAATTGACAAAACAAAGTTGGTTCTTTGAAAAAATAAAGAAATTGATAAGCCCTTAGCTACACTAATGAAAAGAAGGATAGAGAAAACTCAGATTACTAAAATTTGTGATGAAAAAGGAAATATCATGACTGACACTATCAAAATACAGAAGATATTTAGAAACTATATTGAAATTTTATACTTCAATAAAATGGAAAATCTCAAAAGACATCGACAAATTTATAGAGACATATGATCTACCTAAACTGAATCAAAAGGACATACACAATATAAACAGATAAGTTTCAAGCAATAAAACACACAATGCCATCAAAAGCCTACTAACCAAGAAAAGCCCAGGACCAGACGGATTCTCAGCTGATTTCTACAAGACTTTCAAAGAAGAAGTAATACCAGTACTCCTCAAATTATTCCATGAAATAGAAAAGAAGGGAACCTTTCCAAAATCATTCTATGAAGCTAGTATCACCCTGATACCAAAACCAGAAAAAGACTCATCAAAGAAAGAAAACTTCAGAACAATATCTCTGATGAACATAGATGCAAAAATTCTCAATAAAATTATGGAAAACTGAATACAAAAATATATCCAAAAGATAGTACACCACGATCAAGTGGGGTTCTTCCCAGGGATGCAAGGTTGGTTCAACATACAGAAATCAATAAATATAACACATCATATCAATAGACTTACAGAAAAGAATCATATGATTATCTCAGTATTCAGAGAAAAAGCATTTGACAAAATACAGCTCCCCTTCATGTTCAAAACACTGGAAAAACTAGGAATAGTAGGAAAACACTTCAACATTGTAAAAGTTATTTATGCTAAACCCAAGGTCAACATCATTCTGAATGGAGAAAAACTGAAAGCATTCCCTCTAAAAACTAATAAAAGATGCCCTCTTTTATCATGTCTATTTAATATACTCCTTGAAAGTCTAGCCAGGGCAATCAGATGAAAGAAATTAAAGGGATACAAATAAGAAAAGAAGAACTCAAACGGTCTGCCGACATGATTCTATATTTAGAAGATCCAAAAATTCCACCAGAAAATTTCTAGAACTAATAAATGAATTCAGCAAAGCAGCAGGATATAAAATCAATACCCATAAATCAAATCATTTCTATATATAAGCGATGAATCCACAGCACGAGAAATTCGGAATTTCACAATAGCCTCAAAAAGAAAAGAGTAAAATACTTGGGAATCAATCTAACAAGAGAGGTGAAAGACCTCTACAATGAAAACTACAGAACACTAAAGAAAGAAATGGAAAAAGACCTTAGAAGATGGAAAGATCTCCCATGCTCTTGGATAGGTAGAATTAATATTGTCAAAATGGAGATACTACAAGAACTGTTATACAGATTTAATGCAATTCCTATTAAAATCTCAATGACATTCCTCATAGAAGTAGAAAGAATAATCATGAAATTCATTTGGAAAAATAAGAGACCCAGAGTAGCCAAATTAATCCTTAACAGCAAAAGTGAAGCAGGAGGCATTATAATACTGGACCTTAAACTGTACCACAGAACAACAGTAACAAAAATGGCATGGTATTAGCACCAAAATAGACATGTAGACCAATGGTACAAAGTAGAAGACACAGAGACAAACCCACTTAAATACAGTTATATCAGTCTAGACAAAGGCAACAAAACCATACAGGAGAAAAGATAACTTATTCAACAAATGGTGCTGGGAAAACTGGAAATAGCATCAAAATGAAATTAAACCTCTATCTTACCCTGCACAAAAATCAACTCAAAGACTTAGGCACTTGAAGAGAGACCTTACGCCTAATAAAAGAAAAGTAGGCCCAAATCTTCATCATGTCAGATTAGGACCTTATCTCCTTAACAAGATTCCTAAAGTAAAAGAAGTAAAAATAAGAATCAATAAATGGGATGGATTCAATTTAAAAAGTTTCTTCTCAGCAAAGGAAATAATTAATGACGTTAAGAAATATCTTTATCACATGCACTGAGATAAAGCACTAACCTCTAAGATAAAGAACTCAAAATCTGAACACCAAAAAGACCACTAACCCAATCAATAAATAGACAAAGGACCTGAACAGACACTTCTCAGAAGGAATACAACTGATCAACAAACATATAGAAAGATGTTCACCATCTCTAGCAATTAGAGAAATGCAAATCAAAACTACACTAAGATTTCATCTTACTCCAGTCAGAATGGCAATTATCAAGAATATAAGCAATAATAAGTGCTGGAGAGGATGTGGGGGGAAAAGGTACACTTATACATTGCTGGTGGGACTGCAAATGTGTGCAACCAATCTGGAAAGCTGTATGGAGATTCCTCAGAAAACTTAAAATAGAACGACCATTTGACCCAGTTATTCCACTCCTTGGTTTATACAAAGGTCTTCAAATTTGCATACTACAATGACACAGCCACATCAATGTTTATAGTGGCTCATTCACAATAGCTAAACTATGGAACCAATAAAAATGCCCTTCAGCAGATGAACGGATAAAGAAAATGTGGTACATATACACAATAGAATATTACAAAGCCTAAAGAAAAATGAAATTATGGAATTTGCAGGTAAATGGATGGAACTAGAGAACATCATGCTAAGTGAAATAAGACAATCCCAAAAAACCAAGGGCCAAATTTTTTCTCTGATAAGCAGATGGTGGTCCATAGTGGGGGACAAGGGATAGGGAAGAATGATGAAGGAACTTTGGATTGTGCAGAGGGGAGTGAGGGGAGGGTTGAGGCTATGGGGATGGGAAGGATGGTAGAATGAAACAGATATAAATACCCTATATACATGTATGATTACACTACTGGTGTAACTCTGCATCATGTACAGCCAGAGGAATGATAAGTTGTGCTCCATTTGTGTACAATGTGTCAAAATGCATTCTACTGTCATGTATAATTAGAACAAATTAAAAAAAATAGAAGGAAGACTAGTAGACTAGAAAAAAGGCATCAGAGGAAGGGAGGGGAAAGGTACTGGGGAATGAAATTGATCAAATTATACTGTTTTATTGTGTGTATGTATGAATATATTATAACAAATCCCACTGTTACGTATAATTAGAATGCACCAATAAATAAGAGGGTGAGATGGTATTTTCTGACATTCACTTAACAATGACCTTACTCCACTTTCTTCTGTCCC